CCTAGAGCAGGTTACATAGGAATGCCACTGGGTGGGTTTTGAATGTCTCCAGAGAGGAAGACTCCATGACCTCCCTTGGCAGCCTGTTCCAGTGCCCTGCCACTCTCACAGTAAAGAAGTTCTTCTTATGCTGAGGTGAAACTTCTTGTGTTTTAGTTTATGGCAAGTGCTCCTCGTCCTGTTGCTGGGCACTACCAGAAAGAACCTGACACCATCTTCTCAACACCTGCCTTTGAGATATTTATATGCATTAATGAGATGCCCTCTCAGTCTTCTGTTCTGTAGAATAAACAGGACCCGTTCCCTCAGTCTCTCCTCATAAGAGACACGCTCCAGTTCCTTAATTATCTTTCTTCCCCTCTGCTTGACCGTCTCCAGTAGCTCCTTTTCTTTCTTGTACTGAGGAGCCCAGAACTGGACACAGCACTCCAGATGTGGCTTCACTAGGGCCAAGTAGAGGGAGAGGATCACCTCCCTCGACCTGCCGGCCACACTCTTCTCAATGCACCCCAGGAACCTGTGAAGTGCATGTGCTAGTGGTTGTCACTTTGCATATTTCTGCAGTATATACACCATTTTGTTTTTCCACAGTGGAGAAACTTATAAAGCAGAGATGGAACTTCATAGCTCTGGAGAGGGTTCATGGATCCACAAATCTTAACACAGTTGTTCTGTGCCCATTGAGTGTCTGCAGGGATCACAGGCAGCCACACAGAGCAGGTGGGCATGGCACAGGAGACCAGCACCTTTCTGGCTTATCTGCTGGTTACCAGATGAGATATCCAGGGCAGCAGCCTCAGGGTCCTATAATCAGGCAACCAGATGCCACCAAGGTTGTCATGTGTTGGGCAAGCCCAAATAGGTACTCGTTACTGAAGCCTGCTGTCCTGCCTCCTGGTTCTTTTTGTTACCTTCACCACTGTTAAATCAGGGCTAACAACAGTGGTACCAGTCCCCCACAGAGTAGCCCTTCTGAGGGCAGATACCTTCTGTGAGTCACCGCAAAACATATGTCCTTTCCCTCCTGCTGGAGTCCAGCATATATGAGAGTTGAGGGTCCAGGCTAGTGTCCTCATTTGCCAGCCCCTTGCCAGTGATACCGCTCAAGAAAAGACCTGTTAAACATCTGTGCACATAGGAGCTTTGGAGAAAGCTGCCTTGCAGCTCTGTTTTGGGGAGAAACACCAGCTCCCTATCATCCCTGCTTGACAGGGCAATTATAGCAGTTAAGGGTGGAAACAGCTCAGGGTACTAGCTTATAGTTTGTCATACAATATCATGCTATGACCTGTAGCAACTCAGGATAAACATACCCATGCATGGCACCCTTGGATGACCAAGGACAGTATGTGCCAAGTAAAACTGCTTCTGTGGCAGGTCCTTGTGTCAATCAGTCCCTGAGGATACATGTATGGGGTTGTATACACAGATGCATAGGAAGTCACCTGAGATATTGTCTTAGAAGCAAGAATAAAGCCTGAGCTATGCATGTGAGTATTTACCCTGCCCTTTAGGTGTTAATCCTATTCACCCTGAGCTCTTCATGGCTATGGCCATGGCCATCCAGCCCTGTTAGCTGGATTCGACATGGTTTGTAGCTTTCTCAGGTTTCTCTTTGCAGTCTGCTAGCCCAGACTCTTGCTAGTTTGCTGCAGCAGAAAACAAAAAAACAGGGGAGTAGCCCTTCAAGGCAAAATTGGGTTGACTTATGCTCAATTAACATGTCACCATGCTACAGTGAATGCAACTAAAAAGAGAGAACAACCTGAGTTAAGGCTGCCATGTAACCTGAAACCTTTGCTTCGTGGCTGAAGCTTCTTGTGGTGTTGCTGAATTTATGCTCTGCATGGCTATCATGCTCTGACTGAGTGACTTGGATTTCTGATGTCTGGTCTAATGACCATGCTTTCCTTCCTAATTTTTTCCCTGCTCTTCAACTTTATCAGAAGCATTTCTGGACTTACAAAGTGTTTAACTCCCGCCCCAGTTCCTCCTTCAACTTTTGACTCAGGGACCCCCTATGATACATGGTTATACCATCGACCTTGACGGGGATCTGTGATGACTTGTAAGTTCCTAGAGGGTGCCTACTGATGCTAAAGCATCCTTCCCCTGAGGTACCCAGTGCCTGACTGCCAAGCAATGCACTTTACTGAAATGACTCAGCACAGAGCTGGTTTTCAATTTCCACAGGTTGCACAGTTCTCAAAACGCCTAGCCCCCTCCATCTTTTGGGAAGTGTGTGTGCGTATGGGTGCTGTAGAGCTAGAGAGTGGGTTGAGGATCACAGCTGCACAACCTTCTGGTATTCACAACCAGTTTTTCACAAGTGCAAAAAATCCCTCTTTTCCTGCCTTATACATTTGTATTTTCTCTTTCAGTTCCTCTACTGACCTCTTCCTTTGGCTCCCTCCATGCATATATGTCTGATTGGTACTATCCCTTTGTTTGAATTGTAAGCACTTCAGAGCAGTAATCATGTCTCCATCTGTTGTCTTGACAAGAAACTTACATGATAGTTTAGTTTAAAACCACTCATCTGTAACTGAGCTATCTTGGACTTTTGCAAGGAATGAACAACAATATGAACCCTTTGACAGCTTTTCTTCATGAAAAAGTCTTTCCCAAGACTGATGTGAATTTGAAATCTGCCAGTCTCAAATATATTTTAATAATTAGTTTATTATTTAAATATTTGGGTGGGTTATCTTAATTTTTTGTTTCTCATTCTTCGAGGTACTACAGGTATACACATTTGCATGCACGTATGCAGATGAGAGCAACTCTGCCTTCATTGCATGAACATTGCATGAAGGAAGAGCTTCTCATTAATTTCCTTTGTCACTACAGCGGGGCTACAAGAAAAAAAATACTGTGAGATTCACAGTAAAAAGCACTAGAGTGGATGGCTTTTTAAATAAAAAGAGCTCTCTTGTGGCCACCCTGGCTTGGCTTTGAAGTATGTCCTTCCACATACTTTACCTCTCCCCCATCCTTCTTACACTGTGATTGGAAGTCTACCTTCATGGAAAATGCGTTCATCAGGTTTCAGTAGCCTCCTGACAAGCCAAGCATAAAACAAAGAGAGCTGCCGCTCTGTACCCACACGTGTGTTGCTGCCTTCCAGGAAACAATAATCAGAGGCTCAGGGCTGACCACAGTGCTGTAAGAAATTAAGCATGTGATCATCATCAAATATCAAAACATGTCTACCTGTATTATGTTAAGAGCACAGAACCCACAGTTGTAATTTTTAACTGAAATGCTTGGCTTGGAGGCAAAGCTGGGGTTTTCCACGATCATTCCGAGTTCTGAATTACCAAGGCTCAAACCAACATATTTTGCACTGTCTCTCCACATGCAGCCCAAATCAGCCCTCTGTTAGGTGCCTGAAGATACGATTTTTATTCTTGACTGAAATGTTGTAACAGTTACTGGATTCAATGGGGTGTGAGCTCAGATCCCCCCTAGCCCCATGCCACCAGGGACAGAGTAAAATTCACTTGATCATTTTGTGAGTTGGGGATCTTTTTTTTTTTTGCAGCACTGCGAATATAACCTGCTACAACTGGACAAAAGTTATTGTGAGGAAGAAATTGTTCATCTTGTGATAGATCAGTGTCCTCTGGAATTTAAGTATTAATTGAAAATTCAGTGTCATAGGGCAGCTGGCACTTGATTTTGCTCTCTTTCCTCTGTCCATGGCTTTGATCATGCTACATCTTTCTTTGTGCCTGGTGCTCAAGATAGTACCCCAGGGTCACAGCCTGGTTCCTAGTAAAGAGGTATAAACCTACTGGCTTAAATATCTGAGGCCCAAGCTTTAGCAGGAGTGGGAGCATGAAGGAAGAGGAGGGAGCATTTCCTTCATGCTTTTCACTTTTCCCACATAACCCAAAGCAGACTAAACAAAACCAGTGTGAAATCTCATGGCTTGATGCTGCTATGGTTATATTTTTTAAGCTGTCATCCATTCATTTATAGTTATGTTTGTTCCCTGGATTTACAGCTTTTTTTTCAGCCTTTTCTTGCAGTGAGGTGGGGGGGAGGTCAAAACCTTATGAAAGAAGATTGCAGTGAGCAGTGGCCTGTGATTAAAGCACAGTGTTTTTCCTTGATGCTGCTCCTCCACAGCAGTGTCACACATGGTAGCATTTAGGAGCCCTTCACAGCTGAGGTGTTTCAAACACTAATGAATGGAAGTTTGGTCGCATAAGGCAGGCAAGCTTTAAGGCAAGCTTTTCTGAATGGTGTACTGTAGTGGCCTGGGAAAGGAAGAGAGTTATAAATTGTGTCAGTTAGCCACCCAGACAAAATGAAGCCATGTGGAAAATCAAATCTATTAAAGTATGAAGACTGTTATAAGCTGTTTTAAGCGGTCATTCTTCAAAGGTCTCAGTTGGCTGAGGAGGCAAATTCCTCTTCTTCATAGATCTTTTTCATGTGCTGTCTTAGGCAATGATGTGCAGTGTTTGATAAAAAACAACTTTTCACTGACAGCCCCTTTTATTATAAATGTTTATTGCCCCCAGTTCACCACCCATGTCCTGAAGGGTACTGCACATTCATTAAAAAAATCAGGATAAGAGCATCACATTTGGTCAGGCTTGCTGAAGGTAAACATGAAGTAGTAAAAGGGCCAATGAGGAGGAGAAGGAGAGCAACAGCTTAACATTGGATACCTGCTCAAAACGCTTTCTCTTTTCTAGCTGCCCATGTTTGCTGGCCATAGGAGACCTATGACAGAGCATGGCACAGATTACTTTTTCTTGACGTCTCCTGGGGTGGAAGAAAAACCTGGCAAGGCAAAGTGGTGGGATCAGAGAGCAGGGTACCTTCCTCTCCTCCCCAAGGTGGTTTCTTGAGGTGTCACAGCAGCTGTAAAGAGCATTTTATTAGCTCAGGAGGTAATTGTCAGCTGCATGAGGGAACAGTGAAGCAGCAGCTTAAGATACACGGTCATATTATTATCATATATTATTCCTATTTGTGTATTCTAGGAAGAGACTGAAGAAACGTCCTCACAAGAGTCTGCAGAGGAAGACTAGGACACCGCACCATGCAATTTCTACCTCATCAGCAGTCTTTTGAAGGGAGAAGACACTGCCTTGACCACTTACTTTCTGTTGCCATGATCTTTCCACTTTTGCCTGAAAGGGGAGGGGGGGAGGGGAGGGGAATCACATAACCTTAAAAAGGATTTGACTAATCATCTTTGTAATCCCTTCACAGTCCCAGGTTTAGTGAAAAACTGCTGTAACAGAAAGGGGACACAGATTAACGATGCAACTTTTAATTACTGTTTTCTTTTTTCCTATTAATAGTTTGTTTGAGTTGCTAAGTAAGGGTGAATGGGTCCAGAAGAGCTCCAAATCAGGTTTATGTCATCACTGCACTGCATATAAACAAGAAACTTGTAACATAGTCATTATAATGGGCATTGAAATAGGAAAGGCTGAGTGTTGTAACACTTATGCCTTGCAGACACTTCCAGCAACCCACTCCCTACTTAGTGAACTCCCTGTTTTAGATCACCAAAGATAAGGATAGATACTACTCTTTTTCTTTTGTAACCTTCTTGTAGACTTGTACTTGATTTTTTATTTTTTTGATAAGACTTACTGTTATTTCAGGAAAAAAAATGAAAGATGATCTTTCACTTCATTCAGCTGGTAATCAGAAGAAAGAAATCAACACGAAAATGGTACTTTCATTTTGCAAAAGGGAAGAAAGACAAAGATACATTGTATGGTTATAGATACAAACATATCAGCAGAAATAGTAGTAAACAAAATGAACAGCCCTTATCACCTGGATAATAGGAAGCCAGGGAGTTGGCTCTCTATAGAGTGAGGCATTTTCTGTGGAAACAAAAATGACTGACACCAAACTCTCTTATGCCATTAATGACTAAGTCTTTATCGATAAAAGTGTTTTAAAATATACAGAATGGTACCTAAAAATTAATCACACATTTACCTGAACAAAAATAATCCAGATTTTTGCTTTGTTTTAACTAATTCCCCTCACCCTGTACCAGTGTTTTGAAAGAATTGAATATCTCCTCATTACACATCAGTCACAATGTTAGAACCAACACCATGTACCTCAACTAAGCTCGTGCATTACCTTAAGCAATGTATTTTGACATAGGATGGTTCACTGAGCACCTCTGTGCCAGTGGCATTTCTCCATCTTTTCATTCAAAGCAGCACTTTTAGCACCAGATGCAATATTACCCCACTATTCAATACTACCTCTGATTTTTTACAAATAACTCAACAGACTGATAAATACATGCTGCTATACACATTCAATGCAGGAAATTTTTATTGGGTAGATAATAATGAGTATCTGCATTCTCCCTTTCTTTCTATTTCAACATTATTTGCAGTTAAGGAAGCAATGTCTTTTTTTGTGTTTCAGCATGACTATGTGTTTTTCTTTTCGCTTGATTTGTTTGAGTTTTTTTCTCTTTGTGTGGATTTTGGGGGTTTTTTTGTTTTGTTTTGTTTTATGTACTTTACCCTATTCTCTGCTAGACTTCTGTGTAATGTACTGTTAACTTGAATATATTTTTGTACTGAATTGCTGAGAGGTTTGTGGGATAATTTTCTTCAGTGACACTACATGACATAGAAAAAATTTAGCTGTAATGTTTAAATATTACTGTCCAAGTTTGTACCTCAAATGAATTGTTTAAAGGAATGGACTAATTGATTGACAAAGACCTACCTCCAGACTTTAAATGGAATGAACTTGTTACTTTCAGCATTAGTTTTGAGATGTTTGAAACGGTTAGGACTGCAACTAATCCCTAGTTCAAAACTATTTTTGTAAAATAACTTGTGGAAAATGAACACATTTTAAATTACTTTCATATTAAAAAAAAAAACTAACAAAAAAAACCTTCAAAGAAACTTGAAGCTTTGTAGGTGGAAAGCAGCAAGCTCAGCTTTTGCATAATGCAATCACAAATATGTGTTTAAAAAAAAAAATTAGTAGATTGTAAGAAAATACTTGACAAGTATTTTCATGTATTTTAGACATATGTGATTTTGTAATGTTTCAGCCAGATTTATTTTAAATGCTTCTAATGTAGAGGTTTTTTATTCTCCCTTCTCTGACTTTTGTTGTTCCTTCTTTCTCTCTCTCCTCCCTCCAATTTCATTTTTCTCTATTTCTGTTTTATTTCCCTTCTTCTTCTCTTTCCTAGTCAGTACTTTGTACCATTGTATTAATAACTGGGCCGGGGTAGTTTCTCAGGAAGGCATCCTTTGGTATGGCTTTAGTACTGAGCCAAATGCAGTTAAAGATAACTACTTAATGGCTTCTTCCAAGAGGCAGTGTCAAGAAATGCAGACCTCCTTGAAAGACTGAGAGTTCAGTAGTGGAAGTTGCTGAGAAAGAGCTGATTGGAGTATCACAACTAGACACGTTAATATTAAGTAAAAGAGAAATCCTAGCTATACAGTAGCTCTTAACAGGCCAATTCCAGTGTCACTTCAAGGCAGTAAAAGGAATTCTGCTGACATCAAAGGGCATTGAATCAAGCCTTAGCAAGTCCCTTTTAGGATTTAAGGGGGTTTTTTTTGCATTTTCTAAAACCACGGTATTCGGCGGATGACACAGAAATAATTGCTGGGTGTATGTCACTCTTCAACCTCCGAGAGACTTACCACTCTGATGAACTGAATCATACATTTTCTATATATTGTAGTACAATCAAAACACATTACTACCTCTTAGGGCCTACTATACCTCATTTTTTCAGACTGAAAAATTGCATGTGGCCATTGACTCAGTGAGAACATCATAAAATTTTTTTATATGTATAGTTTATTTTTGTGGGAGATAAATTTTATACGACTGTTCTTTGCTGTTATTGGTCACTGCTAACTATGACTGGACATGTAACTCTTCTACCATTTCTGCAAGAGAGGTGTGTTTGCAGGAAAAAAAAAATCACTTCAAGATGTTTAACTACAGTGTACTTTTGCTTTTGAGCATCTTCTAACTTTTTGCTTTGTTCTTCATGTAGAGTTGCTGTCTATGATTGTACTTCAAATCGCTTGCTTGTTGAAAATGTTCCTTTAATGGATTATCACAGTCTGTTCAGCACAATAAACATAATAGCCTCTGTGATCCCCATGTTGTTTGATTCCTAAACTTTTGTCACAGTTCCATAAAATGAGTAATAAAGTTTGGTCACAATGACCAAATTTGTAAAATCTTTACATGCAAGTAGCCTTTGTTTTGTCCTATGACCATAGGCATATGCCTGAGAAGAAGTGCATTTGCTGTTAGGGGCACCAGGAGTGGGGGCTTAGCAGAGGGACACATCTTATGAGGCTCCCCAAAAGATTCCCATTCCTGGCCTGGAACTCGCTGTGCTGAGCTAAGGACTAAACCATGTACTTGGAGACCAGCAATCCTACCTTCCAGACAGGGAACATCATAGCATGGGCCAGGCTGATATGGGTTTTGTTGCCTGATCTCAGACCCTCCTCTCAGGAGTCCACCAAGGTGACAAGCCTTCTCTTTTTAGGCAAGATTGCAGTTTGCACCCAAGTTCATGGAGTTTCCATTATGCAGCCATTAAGTTAGGAAAAGCAGGTACTCAGAGCAGCAGACACAGGGATGTGGCTGAGTACAGTCTGCAGCACAAATTGAAGAGCTCAGGAAACTGCATCAAAACTCAAACACCCCCAAGATTGTCACAGGCAAGTTGGGCAGGATTTTTCTGACTTCTTCATTTGCTCTTGCATGGTCTCTTGGCCTGTTACAGTGAGATTTAAAGTCACAGAATCATAGATTTGAATCACAGAATATCCTGAGTTGGAAGGGACCCACAAGGATCATCAAAGTCCAGCTCCTGGCCCTGCACAGGACAGCCCCAAGAATCCCACCATGTGCCTGAAAGTGTTGTCCAAACCCTTCTTGAACTCTGTCAGGCTTGGTCCTGCAACTGCTTCCCTGGGGAACCTGTTCCAATGTCAAACCACCCTCAGGGTAAAAAAACTTTTCCTAATATCTAACCTAAACCGCCCTGACACAATTTTAGGCCATTCCCTTGAGTCCTGTCATTGGTCACCAGTTAGAACAGATCAGTGCCTGCCCCTCTGTCTCCCTTTGTAAAGGAAGTTGTAGACTGTGATGAGATCTCACCTCACTCTTCTCCAGGCTGAACAATCTAAGTCACTTCTGCTGTTCCTCATATGGCTTCCCCTCTAGGCCCTTCACCATCTTCATAGCCCTTCTTTGGATGCTCTCTAATAGCTTTATATCTGTTTTATATTATGGTGCCCAGAACTGCAGACACGGCTTGTGGTGAGGCCATTCGAGTGCGGACTAGAGCAGGACAATCACCTCCCTCATCTGGCTAAGTCTGTGGTGCATGTCCAGTGATTCATGTTGGCAGCCATTCATCTCTCACCTTAGGGGATTGTCCAGTTATTATTTCCTGGGATGTGTAGGTTTACACATTCTTTATGTTCACTCATTTGCAGTCTCTCCACCTAATCTCTGTTGGCCAGATAACCACTGCTTTGCCAAGGGCTTCATGGCATGTTTCCTTTGGGCTCAGTTACTTGTAAAATAACCAAAATACAATCACAAAAAAAGCATTAAGTAACAATACTCATTCGGTCCCCAGGCAGATGTAAGTAATTACATTCATCACATTATATTTCCTCTTCTGCTTTGTCACTCTGCTTGGTGGTATTAAAATATCATTCCAATTTTCAGTCTTCCTGGTGGTCGTCTTCCCTGTGGTTGCCATCACTTGGCTCATCTTGTTATTTTATCTGGTATGATGCTCCAGCTGTAATCCACTGACCTGATGGATCAGCCAAGTGGCTGAACTTCTGCTGCTCTGTGCTTAACTCCTCTCTACTTCATAGTCATTCCTCCAGCTTGCTTCACTCCCACTTCCCTTCTCAGGGCATCTTCCAGTAAATTTCTGCACACTTTATTCCACAGACTGTTTGTGTGTATAAAACTAGTTGGCTTCTGCAGGATCGAGGCCTGTGTTTGTCTAGTGGCTGAGTGTACTTTATCCAAGATGCCTGTGGCAAGAATTATATTAAGTTTCTGCTTTTGTTTTCCCCTCCTGTAACATTTCATCCACACAAAGATGGGGGGAGTTATTG